CCAGGTTCTGTGCTGCTTGTAACACGTGGCGATCTTGCTGTAGCGTAGGAGAGCACGTTTTTTCTGCATTCGGTGTTGTTGCTGCCCTCCAGCTGCCTTTTGGAAAGGAGATGGAAGAAGCCGAGTTCTTGTGTCCACACAGAACAGGTTTTGAGTGTTGAAACTATTTTCAGAAGAGCTTTCCTTGGGGGAGTGGCTCAGATCATAAGATGTCCCGCTGTGGCTTGATAAAACAGTTTTACTTCTGTTACATTACAGGGGGAAAACCAGACGACATCACCGTCCTTCTTTCTATCGTAGCCGAGTACACAGACTGATCTGCCCCAGCGTCAGCCTCTGACTTTTCCGTTGTCCCCGAGCTCCTCGCTTCACACGTACGGTTTCCTGCTGGCAGGATTGCTTTCTTCCTTTGCGGCTGATCTCAGCGGCTGGTTCTCGAGCTCGTTGCCCGTCCTGAGATGCAGCTGAAGTCCGTGTTAAGAACCACTCTCGTAGTACACTGGTCTGCGTCCGCCAGTCAGAAATGAAGAAGCTCAAGGCTTGAAGCATGTCTTTCAGAGCTTAGTCGTTGTCCTTAAAAGGAGGAGGATCGATCCCATGTCATTTGAAATGTGACTTGCTTTCAAAGGAGTAGAATTGGTTTCTCATCTTTCAAACTAGATTCAGTAGATAAAACCTCTCCAGGAGGATGTATTTACTCTATTTGCTAGAAGCGTTCACTATTCATTCAAGGGTATGTTAGAGAACACAGTTTCATAAGCATAGTCTTGTTACAGTGATAGCTGAGGTTTTGTGTTTCTAAGCTCCAGTTTTCAGGAGATTTATAACTGCTGTAAACGTTCTGCTCTTGCCATACATGGTGTCAGCCTAGGAGCCTTTTCTAGTACAAAATTTAAAAAAAAAAACCAACAAAAAAAACCCAAACCAACAACCAACCCATATTTAGTTCAAGTAATATGGATGCAAATGTGTTTTGTGATTTCAGGTGCTTAACTGTGATCTTAAAAGTTCTGCAGATCATTTGTCCATAATGGGCCTGGTATCTGGATGTTTTGGCTGTGGATAATTGTGTTCGGTTTTGTTTTTTTTTTACAAAACAAAATTTTTAACTCGATCCCAAAAAGCCGAGCTGGCCAAACTTGAGGTCCTTTCAGCATTTTAACCCATCCCGCCAGCGCGGGATGATGTGGCATAAGCGAGTGCTGCAGTGGGAGGTTGCACGAGGAACAGATCATCCTCGACTCTGAACATCTTCACTTTCGGTAGATAATTCTGTTTAGTAACGGAACATGATTTGCGTTAATAATTGCCATTTTCACTTGCGTAGAACAGAACGTGCTGCGCCAGGTTAAGTCCAGTTGATCCTTACGTTTGAGACAAGCACCTCTTTGCTTATGCTGTGGCAGCAGCCGTAAGTATGTAAATGGAAACTCTTAAGGAATAATCAGCAAAACTCACATTTCAGTAACGAAAGTTTAGAGGTTTCGGAACGAACCTTAATGATGTTTACAGTTATCTAACAGCCACTTCGCAATATTACATTTCCTTTCGAATTACAGTAGCTTCACATTTCTTCCCCGCCCCCCGTTCCAGCAAGCTTTCCTTTTTCTTTCCTGGGGTTCATACAAAAAGCTGATAGCTGTAAAGATATAAATATATTTTTTGGTCAGTTTTTCATTAACTTTTTTGCTGGTAGAAAAGTATATAGAAATAAATTAAAGCCATGTTTTTATATATAAAAAGTTCGGGTAATGTTGCTGTTTAGGTGAGTGCAGTTAAACTTGGTCAGTAAGTAATCTTACCTGTTCTCAAAAGGAGATTTTTTACTACCTGGTTTATTGTATTAAAACTGTTTAAGTTTGAGGTTACCTCAACCCATTTAAAGAATTTTTGTGGACTTGTACTGTATATTTGCGTAACTATGTCAAGCTTTTATTTAAGGTCATTTAACATGTACCATGTACATGTCATTTTACTATATTTCAATGCATCATGCTTGTAACAGGCATTTCATTTATAATAAGAGTAAGTGATTAATTTGGAAGCTCTTCAGTAATTTATCTGCTATTTCTAAATTGGCGTTAATGTTAGTGATCTGTTTTGAATCACCTTGTAATTACTTGTCAAAATGCCTTAACTACCCTAACTTGACCAAAATCTTATTTTGGTGAGGGTAAGGGGAGGATTATATTAGCGAAGAAAAATTTAATTAGTCTTGTGATCCATGGAACAGTGAGCGGTGGATAACTTTGCACAAATTGTCAGTCCTTGTGTTTTGTGTTTGTTTGTTTGTTTGTTTTTTTAAATTGAACAAGCTGTCTCTCGCTGTCTTGTTAGAAGGAATGTATTTACGCTGCAGTATAGGGCTTCATTTCTAGCATTTGGGAGGGACATTTCCCTCTCAAATCCGGGTGTCTTTACATTTTATTCTCCAGTATTTACTACCACGCTTCTTGACTAGAGCAGATTTGATCAATTATTCTTTCCCTCCGACTTTCCCTTAAACGATGTCCCTGCTGACCCGAATTGTGTCACGCTCTGACCCCTCGCTCTCGCCACGCTTCTCCCCAGCCCTCGTTATTTCCCTCCCCGGCACTTCCTGGACCTCTCTGGTGGGAGATGTCCGCACGTGGAGTGGGAGGAGGAGGAGGGTGAAGGCGCCGAACCCCGTGTGCGGGGGTCACGGGTGCTGTGCTCTGCTGGGCCGGGGTCCCCAGAGCGGAGCCGTGTTGCCTGGCCGTGCCGCGCCTTGCACGCCTCTGTTAGAGCAGTATCTGCAAAGCCGTTTGCCTCGTATCACATCCTGATTTTTCTTTTTTTAAATAAAGAACAAATTTGGACTTTGATTTACAAATCATGAGTTTATCCCTCACCAGACACACCAAAGACCAGTGAAGCTTATAGCTTTTCCATCTGTTTATAAAGCAATACTGTATTATAAAAAAATTGATATTTTTATCACATGCTTGATTGTTTTGGGGTTTTTTGCTTTGTTTTTGTTTTTTTTTTCTTTAAGATGTGCACTCTAAACATATCAAACCTAATTTCTTCCTATGAACTTAAGCTGTCTGCGCACAAATGTTTGGAAAAGGAGATGACAGGGCCCATACTATCAAAACAATTTTAAGCGATGCATGAAGCAGTAACACCTCCTGGGAGTTAAGATTATTGTGACTCTTCACGAGAGGGAGGTGCAGGAAGGGTGTTGGTGCAGCGGGAGGGTGCCCGAGCAGGGCACGGGCTGACTGACCCTCGGCCGCTGCGGGGCGGGGGGGGGTGTGTGCGCGTGTTCCCGGAGCTGATGGTTCGGGAGCCGCAATCTGAAGGAAAAGGCAGAGTCTGACACCCCAGTAACCACGTCACGTCCCGGGACGGGCGGGAGCTGGGATTTCTGCAGCAGTGTTACTCGGTGTTTGGGTAAAACAGGGCTGAGATGTGGTGACTTGGGGGGAAAAAAACAAACCTGTGGTTCCTTGCTACCTTTCTGGCTATCTTTGGGAGACCTGCAACATACAGTTTCCCTCTAAATGTGCTTTCTTTGTGTTTGTGAAGAAGGTACAGCTGAAAAAACCCCCATACAAACCAAAAAAACAGCTCTTGGGACCAGAGAGTTAGGACTTGAGTCAAGGAGAAAGGGAAGGCAAAGGTCTGGCGACGATGTGAAGGATTCGTGATAGAGTCTCCATCTCTTGGTAACAGACATCCTTTCTCCAGGGGAAGAAAAAAACCCAACAGACTGTGGATAGAAACCAACTGTGTGAAGTAGTTTCTTACAAAGATAGCTGAGATAATGAAGCAAATTGAGTCTGTATCTAATGAGGACGCTGTTTTGTTGTTGTTCAAATGAGACTATCATCTATGCTTACCTAAGAGGCAATTATGTGAATTTCATGTCTGAGGTATAACTTATGCAGGAATAGTTCTGTAAATACATTTAAATGAATTGTAAAGATATTTAATAAATATAGTATTTATACTAAAATGTGTGTGGTTGTGTTTTTTTTCTAAATTGACTGCAGCAATTCTCTTTGTTAAGGCAGTGATGTCGGTGGTGTGGAGCTGAGCAGCCGCTGGTCGTCGGGGTGTCAGGCCCCCACTTAGCCCTTGGCCCAGTGTTCCCAAACCCGCCTGGGACTGATGCCGTCAAACTCAGCCGTGACAGTTTGGCAGACAGTAACAATCTTTTAACTGACCAAAGGTGGGAAATTTCAGTATTTTATTTCCGTGTGACTTTGGAAATACCGTGCCGTCACCGGCTTGTGGTGGAAGAGGCAGAGAGAGGGAAAAGAATAATGCGAGTCTGAAACACAAAAAAAAGCCTCTTAAAGGTGTGCTTTCAAACACCGCTTTTATTGTTTTAAATGCGTTTCTATGACAATTTGGGTACTCAGCGAAACACTTAATTCTGCAAACCTTCTGTAAATCGTTGTGCTGTAGCAATGATGTGTTGGGCGGTGCCAGAGCACGTGGGTTTATTTTTCTGGCACTTGTACCTTTATGACAGCAGCTTTAATTTGCCTGAGGTGGGCACGCAGTTTGAATTCCTTAGTGCGAACATCCTAGCCCCCAAAGGCGCCTGCCCGCAGCACACGCTGAGCTGTTCGCTTGTGACCTAGATTCATATTGCGCTCTAATAGCGGTCTGAGAACAACCTGTGCCAGGGGTTGGCCTGCGCAGTGAATGAACACTCCACCTGTGCCGGCAGGGCAGGAGGCTCAGAGCAGGGCTGAGTTTTGTCATTTTCCTATCTCTGGCTCGCAAAACTGGAAACAAGCACCATGTGAGCGGGATTGCCGCTCCCTGGACTGTCCCGGCGGGACTGCAGGTCACCATGCGAGCTCCGAGTACAACCAGCTCCCCTCGAGTTGTAGCTTGCTGAAGAACTGCAACTAAACTTCTTTCTAAAACTAGAAACGGCTCCGCAATTACCACATCAAATACACTTCTATCTTTCGAGGCGATCCCGATGTTCTTTACTTGGATTCGAGCACTCCGTGTCACTAGAGAACTTGGGAACTCTGCAGGTTGCCAAAATCCTCTTCGGTGTCGCTGGCTGTTGCTAAACTACAGAAGGTGTGACCGACACCATCCTTGTCCTTACAAGAAACTGCTCCAAAAAATAAGGAATGAAACTGAAAAATAGAATATTTATAGAAGTATGAAACTGCACGTGGTACAGGGTTTGGGGGTTAATTATTTCTGAAGCTTTTGCCAGGTTAAAATCTTTAGGAGTCTCCAGAGTTTCTTAGTAAAATGCCCCTGCCATCTGCGACTATTTCCAGCCTTGCTGTTAAATATCAGAATCACAGAATGGTTCAGGTTGGAAGGGACCTTGAAGATGATCTCGTTCCAACCCCCCTGCTGTGGGCAGGGACACCTCTCTCCCACCAGCCCAGGTTGGTCCAAGCCCCGTCCAACCTGGCCTTGAACACGTAGTGGTGGTTTTTCTGTGAGCTGCCCCGCAGTGAAAGCTGGTTCTGTTGAAAGGCTGCGTGCAGAACCGCAGATTGCCCTGTAGCGACCCCGAGACCGCGCATGGCTTTTGGGTAAACACCAGCCGAGGCACTCCCCGACAACAGGTCGGGATTCTCCTCACCTTCTCATCATGAAACTCTCTCTCCAGCGCTGCCTGGTCCTCTGTCTCGGTCACGGCTCTTCGTCCCGTGCCGGTCGCATCTTTCTTTGTGACTCTGGGAATGCTCGTAATCTCTCTTTTTGCCAAAGGACTTGTGGGTTTTGCTGACTCTGTGTTCGGGGCGTTTCCATTCCGCTGTGGCTTTTTGGAAGCAACCGCCCCTGCCTTGTGATCATCCGTGGAGGTTTTCTCAGATTGACCCGGCCACGTCTTGGAGCTGGATTGGAGAGTTGGTCAGGTTAGTAACTGGCTTTTACGTGTTTTGTTAGAATGTCTCTGGTTTCTGTTAACAAAAAGCACTAGGGCTCTAGGAGAGATTCTCAACAAGTATCTTCCCTTCTCCTCCCACTGCAGCAGAGCCCAGTGGCGACAGAGGAAAGCAGACGCTAGCAGGGAGCACTCCCTGCCCCAGGTTCTCTTGCTGACCACAGAGCTGAGACCTCTTTAGGTCTCAGGAGCCAGCCAATGCCCACCGATACCCTGCACAAATGAGCAGATCACTTGCTTTCCATCCTAAATCTGGAAAACGTTAACATTCTAATTTTTCATCCCCTCAAGGCAGTCTGCCTCGCTCACCTGCCCCTAGAGCCATTACCTTTCCCGTGGGCGTGAGGAGCAGGGAGGCTGCTGGGAAGCGCTCTCCTTTTCAGCCTCAGACAAGGTAGCCAAAATAAAGCTGGCTTCCAGCACCATATCTTCGACGCTGAAAGCAACGGGTCTAAACACAAATATTCAGAGACAAAACCAGCACACATAAGCGCACGTCTTGCAGGAGAAAACTCAGCTCGTGCGATTCTAAGGGCGCAGATTAAAAAAGTGCCCCCTCTGAAAAGCTGAGTATCTACTACAGTAGCTGCAGAAGAATGAGAAGGCTTCTTGTTACAGTTTTAAACGCACAGAGTAAATGCTATACAATGTTATACTTAGTCAAATGATAGTTTTAAACATGTAACTGTTAAAATTATACTTGAAACAGAAAATGTATAGTTCCTTTAGACTACTGAAAGAAATCATGGCACGCTAAGACCGAGACCCTGAAGTGTCCGGGCAACTTGTGGGTGCTCGGCACTCCCCATGGCTCCCTTAGTAATGCTGGTGCCTCTGTTGAATGCTTAATGCATAATCATCAAAATTATTTATCACACATCAGAAATAGAGCTTTTTTGGTACGAAATGAAAATCTATTTTACTGCTCCAGTTAAATATTCATCGAGTAGCCTGCAGACAAAAAGCAACTGTGGAGCTGCAACTGCGGTAGTTCTCGTCAGGCAGGTTCCCAAACGTACTTCCCAGCTACGTCGAAATGGATGGAGACAGGGACGCTGGTAGCTTCTGAAAATGCCAGGAGCCCCTGGAAAGAAGTGGTTAAGCACTGGTTTAAACCCAGAAGATCAATATTAGAACATAAGTTTATGCCGGCTGTTGTTTGCTGGCAAAAGGCGGGTAAAAGTCCACTGCTTCTAGGATACATTTCTTGCCTTCCCTGCTGGGAGCTTTGCCAAGGAAGCTTCTGCGGGGAGAACTGCTTGTGGCCGCGACGCTTTCCCCAGGACGCTTACGGCGCGTCTGCCCAGCCCCATAAATCACATTTTTGTTGTTTTTAAATGCGTTTCGCTTGCCTTTCAAAGGCAATGGGGAGGGACCCCGAAGGGTCCTGAAGATCCTGGGTTTTAAAACTAATCCTCAGGCAGCTGGTGAAATCCTGCTGCGGGTCAGGAGGGCCGGGGAACGCTTCCCAGGAGCATTCCTCAGGGACTGCTCTGCGCTGGCCTGAGCAAGTCAAGCAAATTAAGGGGAAATGGTTTATTTTCAAGACAAATTCTTGCTTTACCCTCAATTCTTTAAGGCAAAACGTCACTTCGGAATCTACTCCAACTTGAAAGTCGTCGAATTCGTCTGGATTTAGGTGTATTTCCGTAAGCATTGTCTTTGAAGAAACTGTTTAAAATAACAAGTAAGTCAAGGACTAAAAGGAGTGAAGTTTGAACTCAACAAAGCTATTGTTATAACCATGAGGTTTTTACATCAGCATCGTTTGAACAAATAATTGTATTTTTATAGTGACTAACAGTAACGACTGCCTATCTAAATTTATTTCATAATTAAATAAAATAAAACCTTGGACTTATTTAAATCTACATAATGTTCTGTAAATGGCTTTTAACAGAACTTTTTGATGTTCCCCTTGTGTGATCTAACCCGATAGCTGCCTTCCGTCTCCTTTGTTGCCAAGCGCTCACTTCTGGCTGCAGACAGGAAGGCTTTGGATTCATCACAATTGCTGACAATCATCCGAGCACGATGCAGGTGGACTTAGGTTCTTTGTTTTAAATCACAATCTTTTCCTGATACCTAAGTGGCCACAGGAAATGGGCTCTTCGGTGTCAGATATTTAACTGTTGCTTGTTACCATGTGATTAGTCCCTGGCTCTTACTGGGGGTGCGAGAAGAAAGCGAGAGGGCACTGCCACGGAGCATTACGGTCACGGAGACACTCAGAACAATTCTCCAGTGCTCTTCCAAAGCCAGGCTGCTGGCAAATACCGCAAACTTCCCGGTCTTCTGTCTCCCAGCTCAAGAGGCTTTTTGATCCCAGCTTTCAACAAATGTGCTGTTCAGAGAGACTCTTGTAAAGTTCCTTAAAACTGCCCGAATACACACTTGTAACACATCTGGCAGCTCCTGTGAGGCAGAGCCCACCGCGTGCAAACGAAAACAAGTCTAGGCAGAAGGTGTAATTTCTTTCTTTGAAAAATGAACCCGAATGTGGAAAAACCCCCAGGCCACCACCAGAGGACGTGTTCACGGCACACGTTTGTTTCAGCGTGCGTGGAACATGTGCTGCAGGCAGTGAACTGCGTCATGAGCTGCACAGCACGAACAATGCTTGTAATTCCTCCTTCTCCTTCACTGTTTGGCTTTTTGGTACCTCATTACATTTTCACTATTTTTTTCACTTTCTTTCTCACAGTAACCCTTGTACGTTTCCAAACTAACAAAAATTGCCATTCGAGACGTACTCTTTTCAGTGTCTTTTTCTTTTCAGGAATTTCCCTCCGTTTCACTCCAGTTTCCACCACTGAATCATCTCACTCTCCACCGCTTCAGCCTGTTCTTGGTGCAATCCCCACCCCTACGCTCCAGGCAGTCGCTTTCCTCACTCCTTATCCTTGGCTTTGGTCACAAGCAAGTATGAAAAGCATCCTTTTATTATGTGATATGTGAGAACCCGTACTTCAAAAACACAATTAGATCTTTAAAATTATTTGAGTCACACCCCAAGAATCTAGATCGTTCTCCACCTCCGATCTGAAAGTGGCAGCGCGCAGCCTAAGAGCGCTCGGCCAGCTAACGCGCCCTTACGCTAAAAAACACTCCATAATGATATCAGTTCTGTAATTACGGCGTTCACATTCAAATAGCTCTTTTTAAAACGTAAAATTATCTCCTTTTTCCTGTCTGTTGCCGTGCTTCTTGCAGCACAGTAATTACCTCTCTTGAAGCCTCCAGCAAGTGGCATAATTTATTTCAACTGGCTGCTAAGTTGGCTATTGCCAGGCGAATGTCATTAAAAACATACTTTCTTAAAAGATATTAAAACCAGAGGGTGGCAGCCTGACTTAAAATCTCTCTCTGTACATTCCCGCTCTTATTAATCTCATTCATCCGTAAAATGCATTTATGCTGCGATTGTTTATTACTCCTTTCGCTCACCTGTTTTTAAGTCCCAATATTTGAAATTCCTTACCCGTGTCTTCCTCAGTGTAACTCTTGAAACAAACTTTCATCGGAGTAACTGCCAAGGTTACTTCTTCTTGACTGGTCGGAAAGTGAATCATTATATCAGCCAGC